AATTCATCATCACTATTATAAAATTAAGACAATATTTTTTTTTTCAAAATCTGATTTATTGAAATTCAAATAATTTTCTTAAAGTGATTTCATATTTTAAAATATTTTATAATATGGAAATATAATAAAATAAATTAATTTAATATTTATACAAAATACTTAAAACTATAAGATATTTTTTTAGAGGAACCAAATCAACAAGATATTCTTACGATGTTATCTCAATTATTTTTATTAATTTTTTATATATAAATTATACTATTATTATAGAAATTAATTCTTATATTCATTTTGGTACCATTTTTTTATTGAAATTCAAAAAAAAATGTAAAATAACTTATAAATAATAATAATAAAAAATTACAAATTAATATGTTGGGCCGACATTGAAGAAACATACCTTTGTTGAAAGTTAGGAATTAAAGATCTCAAGGGGTCTTCGTAACGACGATACCCTTCAAGAATAGAAGCCAACCATCCAAGACTAGTCAAATTTATTTGTGAATGTAGGATGCTAAAATTAATATTAATTCATGTTCTTATTATAAGATACTTATAATTAAATAATGTATACTAATATAGGTAGTTATTATTTTAGTTGGATTTATAAAAATATATGATGTTTTACTCCATCCATCCACAATAACTATAATTTTAACATTTGAAAATATTTTAAAATGAGTGACGTTCTCACTTTTTAATATAATATTAATATATTTTTTTTAATTTGTACCCTCATATATTATTCAACAACCACAACTAAAAAATTTTTAGAGAATAGACTATTTTAGTTAAAAATATATTAAAAAGTGATACCCATATTATAAAGATGACAATGTGAGTTGAACTTGGTAAGTCTACCTATTTATTTTTGTGGGTTAGGTTGAGAAAGTAAACCCACCAACTCACCTAACCCATCAACTCAATGTGTCAACTTGTAAACCCACTTTATTTTATTTTGTGTTTTTAAAAGATAAATTTGTAGTGAATTTATGTTGGATTAGTGTTTTTATTTTATAACTTAAATTTCTCTTTCCAAGTAATTATTCTTATTTTATATGAAATAGAAATATATTATTTTAATCACATGTATCTTACTAGTACATTTTCTTGTATAGTGTTTGATTTTAATAGAAATATATATTAATTTTACCTTTTGCATGAAAAAGTTTAACCCTTTTAATCAATTTCATAAATAATATAATAAAATTATAGGATGAACTCATATATTGAACAACTTTAGTTGAGATTTATTTTTAAAATGGGGTGTGTTGAAGATGTATCAACCTATCAACTCATCAATTCTAAGTAACCAACTCATTAAAATAAGTTAACATGGCAACTCATTGTTAAGTGAGTTGGGTTACATTTTTCTAACTTGTTTTTTTTTGTGGGCCAACCCGCCTCACCCTATTTTGGGTGAATTGACACTTTTACTCACCCCCTAATTTATTATTGTCTTTAATATATGTATAGAAACTTTAAACTACAATCATGGTAAGATGGATGAATATTAGTTTGATCCTTCTTACTTATTATTAATTATCACAAGAGATATGATGATATTATCCTATAATCTATATCAAAGTTAATTCACCATTATTAATAAAATTATTTGATAATCATAGAGTTCAAAAGGTGAGAGATAGCAAGCATATATTTTTCAGCTTTTCTTCTCATTATTCAATAATAATAAACACATATACCACAATCTTTACAATCTAGTTATTCTAACATGACACTGGTGTATTATCACCTTGTGTATAGTGTTGTGATGGCTTGACCCAACATAATCTCCTAGGCTATTTAAACTTCAATCAAAGATAAAGTGATTTTACCGATGCCACACACATATAGTTTTTGGAGAGTCTTGTCCATTGCATGATCATAGCATATTCATTGCTTTTTAATTATGAATTGGATGGATATTGAGATGTGTGGAACAAACCTTGTTTCATGTGATTAAGTATGTTGTTTAGTGTGCCTAGATTATTAAGAATTAGAAATATGATTAATGATATTTGTGGTTGTTTTATATGCATAGTTATATATGTGTGACTATTTCATCATTTCTACACTGGTAGCTAGAGGGATTCTCACTCTTCTTTTCTTTCGGTGTTTTGTTTTTTTGTGTATGTGTAGGTGAGTTTAATTATGGATGAGTTTAAATATATATATATATATTTATGTGTGTGGTTTTTTGAGTTAAACTGAAAAAAATATTGATCAAAATTTACTTGTAAGTTTAGTTAATTTTTGAGCGGCAGAATGCATATTAATAGATTTAGTCAACAAATATTCTAAAAGAACATAGTGGTTCAAGAATTCTCACCTCTTTCTACAAATGGTCTGAAAAAGCCTACGACTTCAGTATATTGACGTCTTAGACGTGTTTTTTCTATAAATGACAAGAAAGCTCTCTCTTAGGAATTTTGTATTTCACTCGGAGGTGAAAAGACAGGTGTCATAAGAGCATATGTAATAGGTTAGTTATAAGTAACTCTCTCTTTGTCATATCAACACTGATTTACTTTATGAATTGTTTAAATTTTAATAAAATTATTTGTACAAATAACTCTACTAAAATTTAAACAATCCATAAAATAGACCAGTACTAATTTAATAATAATATAATAAAAAAATTACATATAAACAACCCTATTATAAATGCTCTAAGTATTGAATGCATGTTAATAAATTTAGTCAATAAATATTCTAAACAACATGGTTCAAGAATTCTCACCTCGGAAATCCAGGAAAGCGTCACTGGCTTCAGAATAATTTTGAATTTTTCGACGTTCTCTTTCTATACATGACGAGAAAGCGGCTTCTCTGTCTTCAATGTCTTCATCTTTTTAATTATTGAATATTTAAAAATATTTTTAAAATTATTAATTATTATTTAATATTAATTTTTAAAATTATTAAATATTTAAAAATTAACTAATATTTATTTTTATAAAATTTAATTTAAAAATCTCAACATATAAATATATTTTTAAAATCAATTTTAT